TCAATCGAAAATTACAGGGAATATACGAAAGGCAGAGATAGCTAACTTGAGTTAGTTGGATTTGGTTTACTAGGAATCCATTTCACTGGCTAAAATGAAAGAAAATTGACATGTTACTAGTTGTTTAAAAGAACGAACCGCTAACACTGAGCGGTCATTTAAACTTTGTTACGTTCATGTTATTTCGTCGAAAAAAGCTGTCGACACAATTAAAATGCAACACAAAGTGACATGACGGCATAACAGCAACTTTAATAAGATCCCAGTTACCTTGTTGAGTCGGAGGAGGATGGTCCAGGTGTGCAGCTACAGGTGCTGGCAGGTCAGAGGTCAGAGGTCAGGGAGCTACAACACAGACAGTATTAGTTGTCATTGAAAAAAAAAAAAGTGTCATTGAAAGCAGACATGAAGAAAAAATCTGAAGATTGTTTCAATGACAAATTATTTATTTTCAATAACTTTTTTTCAATAACAAATCTTTGTTTTTCAATGACATGTTTTCCCATGACATTTACTTTTTTCAGTGACAACTAATGCTGTCTCTGCTTTACCTCCATAAGAGCTGGGCCGTCCTCAGGTCTTCTTTCTTCATTTCTTTGCGTTGACTGTTTGCTAAATGAGGTGATGCACATGGATTTTGCCCAGATGAGTAACAGTCAGACTCAAACAACAGAGTCATACTCAAGTCAACCGAAAACAGAAAAAATACCGTACTCTGCTGTAACAATGAACAGTAGCTTGCTGTTAACATTTTGTTCTTTAAGAACATAGGAATGTACAATATTCAGCTGTCACAACCAACGGTATATTACTGTACAAAATATCCCATACAGTGTACAAATTCTAAGAATGTTTTAAAGAAAACATTTGAATCTAATATTCAAAGAACATTTTTAGGATGATTATCATTTCAAATAATATTCCTGTGAGGTCAATAACTAAAGAAGACTCTCAAACCAACATTCAAAAATGTTTTCAAGCTGAAGACAGAATAAATAATTTTTTTAAATATATATATAAAACATTCCTTTAATGTGACATCTTAATGAAGGTGGGACATTTTGCCTGCATTGTTCTGAAGATGTTCTGGGGATGTTGAACATTAAAAACATCCCCACAGTATTCCCTATCAACAAAGGAGGATGTTCTTAATGCAACATTCAAAAAAAATGTTTGCAAGATGTTCTCTGGGCCTCAGAAGACAGTATGTGTTTTTATTATTTCTTCATTTTGCCTGAAATGTTTTGAGGACGTTTAGGGGACGTTGTTGAGGTAAAACAGAAACATTCCTCTTTAAAACACAAAACTCAAAATGGTACATGACAACAAAGGAAGAACGTTCTCGATGCAACATTCAGCAAAAGATTCAACAAGATATTTAGAGTGTCTTTAGAAAAATGTATCCTGCCTTTAAGTTTGCAGAAATTTCTCAGAACATTTTCAGAGCTAAAACAATTCTGGCAACTAAGTTCTTGGCCACTGAGTTGATCCACATACTAGTCAGATGTGGCTTTACAGGAGAATGATCAGATAGTGTGACTGGAATACAGACATGGCTGCCTTAAAATGCAACTTTATTTAAATGACACAATGCTGCACAATTCAAGAGTAAGACAAGAGCGGGCTGCTGGCCGGCTGGATGATGGTATGTTATTAAGAAATGGTTTCAGACAGTATAATGCGACAGAAAATCTGCTACATGATGCTGCAACAGCATCCAGTCCCCTAAAATGTCTGTCAACTTCTCAGAGGCCTTCAGGAAGACTCGAACAAACATCCATGAGCAGAATTGACAACCTCATTAACTCATTACTGACTTAGGATTCATGGTCCATGACCCCACTCTCCATCTGCCTGTTATCATTTCCAATATAGTGCATACTTGGGACTTTCAGAGCATCCACTGTGTTGTGGAATGATTTTTTATTCCCTGATGTTTAAAGAATTTAATAAAACACCACATACTGCATTTATGATTTTATTTACTATGTCTGGGTCTCCCCACCAGTCAGTTAAAACTAAGGAAGCCGCTTAGATGAAAAGAGAAATATCATCAAGAACCATAAAGACGTCCAGTGGCCTCCCTCTGAAGCACTCGGTAACACTGATGTTGGCATTTAAATCAGAAATGACCTTTTCTTTTTCTATATTTTCAAAGTTTCCTGCTATAAATTCACTGTGTGTAGAATTGACAAGTATTATTTTGATATGCAGCCATTCCTCATAAACGTAAATCCATAAAGTATATGGACACAAAGGCCACAGTATGAATAGGGTGACATCTTGTGGTCAGTTTTTGCAGTTGCAAGGATTTGTTTCATTTTAACTAAGATTTCTCCTGAACACCGTATGTATCCTACAAGTAGTTAGTTTCCAGTTTTTCCACAATCATAGACCATGAGTTACATCCTGGTTGGGTCAAGACATTTGGCGGCTGTGTCTCAGGTGGTCGAGCGGTTGTCCTCTGATCATAAGGTTGGCAGTTCAATCCCCGGCCCCTCTGCAGTCGAAGTGTCCTTGGGCAAGACACTGAACCCAACTTTGCTCCCAATGGAAAGCTAGGGCCTTGCATGGCAGCTCTGTCGCCATTAGTTTTTTGAATGTGTGAATGAATGGTTGAATGATAAAACATTGTAAAGCGCTTTGAGTTTCGCTAAGGTAGAAAAGCGCTATATAAGTGCAGTCCGTTTACCATTTGCAGCAACCAAGTAAGTTTATTCATATAGCACCGTATTATAAACAGAGGTTATTAAAAATGGCTTAGTTGATTTGTTGTTTTTTCTGTCCTGTCATACATTTATTATTGTTGACATTCTTTCACATACAGCAAATTTTCTGTGTTGCATGAGAGAAATGAATGCCACTTTGATCCCCTCCTCTTTTAGAAATGACATGATTTAATTGTTGTCTGTTGACTAATGTCCTAAATGAAAAACGATGTGAGAACTAAATCATACATTCTACCTTTTCTTAACTTGGTAACTGCCATTAGATTTTGTACAATAAAATGTGTGACAATAAAATGCTATCAATGAAATGCTGAAACCAAACATGAAGACAAATACTGGNAGTTGGATTAAACATAGAAATGCAGGAGGAGGAGACTTGAATCAGACTGACAACAATAAGCAACCAACCATGCAAGTTTACTTATATAACACCTAATCATACACAGAAGTTGTACAAAAATGATTTAGCTGCAGATTTTTAATTTTTATTTAATTTTGTTTTATCTTATTTTTTTAATTTATCGCCATTAAACATGCATCTAAAGTTTAGGTAAGTAATTCAATTAAAGCAAAAAACACAACAAGGTGCTTTAAGTGCACATAGATTTATAGAATAACTAAGAGTGAGTGACTCAAAAGTCAAGAGAAACATAAGAGCATGTAAGAGATGAATTGTGTTATAAAACTGATAATAACTGTAGTTAAATGAAGTGAATAAAAGTGCAGACAAGTCTACTTTAAAACTGTGGGAGAAAAGAACAACCTTCAGCTTACTCTTAAAAATGATTACATTTGGGGCCAAGACGAGCCAGTTCAGAGTTGCATAACTGAACATTTTGTGATTATAGAGTGCTTACAGAACAAAGTGGGAATAAATCGGAGTCTAGAATGTAGGATATGGACAGACACAGATGCTCAAAAGGATTAAAAAAACTTCATGTGAACTTTCCAACACCCACGTCACATTCCATAAAACAAGCCAGAACTGTCCTGCAAGTCCCAGGACCATGTAAATCAACTCTGCAGAGCTCCATTAGGAATTTCCTTATCACGCCTACACAGCCTCAAAGGATCTAATACAAATAAGCTTTTGGGGGAAGACGAAGAAAAACATTCAACCACATGGACCTTAACAGATGGCCAGGCGCAATGAAGTGCCCTGGGCTTCACGTATTGCTCTGCTGACCCCTCATTTCCTGTGGTATGCAACAAAGAAACCTAAGAACTAAATTTATGAATGAATAAGTCATGACAGCACCACAGGATGTGCCTTATTATCTTGTGTTAAGTTTAATCGTTAAATGTTATGATATATCATGTCCTGATAAATACTCCAAAGCTTAATTACAGTTGGATAAGTCCTTCTTTAATTTATCAGCTTGTTATATTATCGTATCCTAAGCATTGTGTTATCTCTGTAACCGTCCAAGATAGACTGGTCATGTTTAGACTCCCGGTGAAGCTCTACGTGTGACACATTCATTTCCAACAAACTTTACTTTGTACAATTGAAAGTACATATAGTTCTGAAGGAACACTGTTACTTTCAGAGCAAAACTCTGACCACCTCATGACCTCCCAGTTGTTTCCTGTGTTTTCTATGGCTTACATCCAGTCACTTTACGTATGTGATCTTTAGTTACCTGAGCTCTAAGTTAATTCCCTTAACTTTACAAAACACTCTTGACTGATCACCAAGAGTAAACAATTTATTAGAATTGTTGTGCTGACTCTGAAATTATATCGGTGGACGAATAATTTAAAGGTTGGTATCAATAATTTTAATTCACGCAATCATTTGCTTTGGTGTGAGAATAAGTACATCTTATTTTCCACACTAAAAACCCTACAAGAACTAAGAGACACAAGGTGCCTGAAAATGTTACCTTAATCAAATTGTTCAAATTTAGGAGCTGATTACAGAGTAAGATCTTATTAAATATCAAACATTAACTTGAATATTTAGCTAAATTATACACATGCCACACCTATTAGAGATGACCTTTTCAAAACACAATGAAGTAACAAATTTTGTTTGTTGTGCTGAAGGAGAAAGAAAATGTTTCGCTGGTATTGCCATTCTGTCATACGTTTGTAAAATACAATCCCTCTTCCATTTACTGTGCTAAGTTTGTGACATCAGATAAGACGCCCAAATATTGTTGCTTAATTTGTGTTTTGAACTTGATTTTAGTGTATGATAAAGAGCCACACAGGCAGAATGTGAAAGCTACAAGTTAATTCAGTGCAAAGAGAAGGAAAACACGTTTATGCAATTTGAAAAGGTGCCTTTTATTGTGTCCACATTACATCGCAGGCAGAGTTAACTCATAGACGACTTTAAATTGCAAAGCACTCAGAAGCTCAAAAGTCATGTTCAGCCATCACTTCATGCCTCTGGACTCCTCAGAGCT